CCCTCAATTTTCTCCCTGCCTCTCATCGAGGACAAGAACACGCAAGACGGCCGGGTGCATGTACACCTGCCTTCCCAGTCCCGTGGCAGGGCGCAGCAAGGGGCTCCGAGTACGAGCGGGTGGAGATCCCGTCCACGTCGTTCCCGCGCGAAGCCATCGGTAAGCGTTGTGCCTGGAGTCCGGCGCGTGGACTGCCGCGGATCCTGTGCCAGGAGGAGCAGGAGCACCTACCGGCAAGGAATCCCACAGCGCTGGCGGGAGCCTGACCCCGTCACCAAGATCCCACAACGGCCTCCGTGTTCACGCAAGAACCTGTGGCAGCCAGATGTCTGCCGGTGAGCGGGCCGCTGCTGGCAGCTGGCTGGAGGACCGGCCTGAGCCAGAACAAGCCAGAGCCATCGTGCGAGCTGCAGGAGGGAGAAGGAGAGGCCTGCAGGAGAGCTGGCCTGGCTCTGTGAGGCTGGCAGGAGGAGAGGAGGAAGGAGGCGCGCTGCTGTAGGAGGAGAGAGGCTGGGGCAGGAGGAAGAGGCTGGGCAGGAGGAGGAGAGGCTGGCAAGGAGAGAAGGAGAGGCTGCAGGGGAGAAGGAGAGGCCCTGGTCAGGAGGAGAAGGAGAGGCCCTGCAGGAGGAGGAGGAGAGCCTGCAGGAGGAGGAGGAGAGCCCTGCAGGAGGAGCAGGCTGCAGGAGGAGGAGAAGGAGAGGCTGCAGGAGGCAGGAGGAGAGGCTGCAGGAGGAGGAGGAGAGGCTGCCAGGAGGAGAGGCTGCGTGCGAGTCTGTGGGGACTTGGCTTGGGAACCGGCAGGGGTTGCCGCGTTCAGAGGTCCCACGAGACTAGCAAAAGATGACTGTGACTGGTAGCTTGCGAGAAGGACAGCGTTGGTCACCTCCTGGTGCAGCTGCCCGAGGGGGTCGCCCTTGAGCAAGGGCAGACCGTAAACCCCGAAACGGCTGCTCATGAGGCGTGCTACGGCCGGCGGAGCGCGCCCATCACGGTCCCAGCTCATGCGTCTCCCGCCGTTTGCATGTGGGGCGCGCGTCACTGTTTCCACTATGCTGCAGCATGGGTGCGCAGTCAGACGTTGCCATTCCTGCAGGCGCGCGTTGGTGTGGGGTGCGTATCAACAACGAAAAGAAGTGGGAATAGAGAGCAAAAACAATTCCCGGTAGGGGACTCCAATGAAGGTATGATCTTGCTGCTGCGCTTCTTTCTTCTCGGTGCTTTAGAGAGTTGTTGCGCAGAGTGCCGGGTGGGAATGACAGCATACAAAGCTGGTAGTCCGAGCCAGAGGGTGCCGACTAAATCTGTGTGCTGCTCTGGCTGTTTTTTTTTGTTGGTTGTGTGGCAGAGACGTGCGGATGGTTTCTCAGAGACGCTGTACGGAAGGACAGGAATACCTTCCCTGCTGACTCCACGCTCGACACTCCCACTCTGAGGACTTGAGGCCAGAAGATGGAAGGTTGCTTGATGCGGTATTGATGTCTGGAAGATGTTCATAGGAGTCGCAGTTTTCGCGTTGTAACGATTGTAGATGGCCCAAGACGTCATTGGTGTTCCAAGGATGCACTTTTCATCTCCGTTTTGCTGGTCAATCTGCCTTTGTATGCAACTGCTACGAAAAAGCTTCATCCCCACTCAGCTCCACCTCCCCGGAGTGGCACGGACGTGTGCCAGTCAGACTGTTTTCTCTCACAAAATCTGATGCAATGTAAATTTTGTCGCCGGGTGCGGGGCGATTACATGAGTTACTTGATTTGTATCGTTATTATAATATAATGGCATTTGTACCGATGTTTGTGCCATTTCAATTCATGATATGGGCCCATGCGCGTTTGGGATCCAGTGTCATTTTGAGACTGAGCTACTGCCGCCCCAAGGGTTTAAATACAGAAAATAAAAATCTACAGATGTAAGACAATACACACCCAACGGCTTATTTACAGATTTTGTTGGTGCGTTTTGTCTTTTCAGCCATGGTGCTAATCACTGCTCATTTTCTTCTTCTTTCATGTTTAAATGTTAGAATAGTACACTAAGAAATTTTAGAAGAAAGAAAAATACAAAAATATTGATTATTTGCATTTTCTTTTGGTTTAAATGTGTGTAGTTACTTTATAATAATCCACTTGTCATAACACCTTAGATATTTGATATTTGCAACATTTTAAATTATTATTAAAATGTATTATTAAAAGATATTTTCCCTCATTGATATCACCACATAGACTATTGTGGGTATTGAGCCTCTAACCTGTGTGGGCTGTATAGTTCTTCTGTTTGGTGTATCTTTGTTTTGTTGCTGTAATATTTTCAGCTCTTTCTGTTCTGCTGTATGGGCCTTATTGGAGTGGCACCTATTCCTATATCATTGAGGTCTCTCTCCATCATAATTGGTATTGACTTTAATACATTAGAAATACATATTCAGTATTTTTAATTAAATCCATCGATGTGTATTTGTATTTTAAGACTTCCAAAGTTCATTAAAACTTCACTGAACCAAAAAAATATGTTTATATTATTCAATAAATATTCAACATTATCGTTTTTCATCCTATAATGTGTTTTATTTGTGTGTGTGTCACACTCTGTGCTTATTATGTACGTTGTTTTTCGTAATTTGCTTTAGTTTTTAGTTATGCGCAAAAAAATAATTTGTCTCAAGTGCTGAGTGACGTGATGAGCGTTTCATTAATTGACCAATCGGATTACTAGTTTCGGAAGTGACGTTCCCGCGTTCGCCAATCATTGCTGGTGAAATGTGCCGAACGGAAACAGCGGCCGACCCACTTCCTCCTCTCGGTGGACTACAGGAAGCTGCCGTCTGGCTGATGTAAAGTTGCACCCTCGCAGTTGAGGAGACACCACCGGCGGCCGCCTCTTCCACTTTTTAAAAACAAGTATAATTTAGTTACCCCTCCTCAGCGGGCTGTCGTGGCACCTGGGCGGACATGGCGACGGAGATAGCTAAAGGTGTGGAACAAGTCTCAGTGGGTAAGAAAGAAATGAGCGTAGCCAGAGCTAGCCAGCTAGTGAGCGAGCTGCCGGAGACATGTGTGTCTGCGGATTGCGTCAGTTGCTGTGATCTTAGCACTTAGCACGATAGCTAACGCCTTTTGCAGGTGTCTGCTTCGATATGCTTTCATACAGAGTGGGGTTACACAGTCACTGAACTTCTGTACGGCTGCCGAATCAACGACGGTTCGTACGGATACAAAGTGAGCCACTGAGAGAGAACTGTAGGCTCATGTTTAGCTGCGGCAGCTGTCAGTTTGCAATGCAGCAGCTAAGGGTCTGCGTCAGTCCCTTACCCCTGTGTACGAACCCGACCCCGTTATATTGTGTTCAGCTAACTTCTATTCGTCACTGTAATGTATTTGAACAATAAGCGACCCGTTAGAAATACTGGATGTGCTTTCAGTTTCATCTCTGTCCGTGCACCAGATCCAGGCTCCCCCGGAGATATCTGTGTTTTAATGTTCTGTTCTGAGCTTCTGTTCTTCAGAGAAACATTGTAGTGCAGACGCCTGCTGGGACATGAAAACGTTTCTGAAGATGCAAGCAGCTGCTGCATAACAAAAACGCCATGTCTATGTCTTCCTGTAAGGTTTACATGGAGTGAGCCTTGTTGATTCAGCGTTACAATGATGGCGTGAAAGACCTTGACAGAACTTGACCTCCACCCCATCAGACACCATTGGGTTGAACAGGAACAACGACTGTGAGCCGGCGAATACACAACATCAGTGTTACACCTCATTAAAGGCTCTTGTGCAGCCGCCTTCCAAAATGTGTTTAGCTGCAGACTAATGGCCACATTTGAATGGAATGTCCACATACTTTTGGCCATACAGTTTAGTTTATGTTTTTGCCTTGATGGATGGGTGTCATTGTTGAAAATGTGGAAGCTGTGCCTCCAGCAGTTGACAGAAGTGCTGGTGTGCAGTGAACTCTTACTCTTATCTCCCTCCAGTTGGGTAAAATTGCAGATGACTGAGCACTTAAAAAAATGTTTGTCCAGTTTCACTATTGCTCCAGGAGGCAAAAATTCAGAACCTGACTCATTCTCCTGCAAGCGAGTGCAGCTTTACTGGAAATAGACTTTTCTATCTGAGGGAGAAGCAGTTCTTTGTCTCATCTTGCCACTTTATGAATCAGGAGGGTCCTCGTGGAAACTAGGTGCGTTGCAAAATACCGGTATTGATAATAATTGTAGTATTTTAAAAAAACTGAAATATTGATTCAATGTTAATAATACACAGATGTAAGTATTGTGCAAATAATCAAACGCCTCTTCAGTTTCTTTCCGTTCTCACTTTGTGGTTCACACGATGGTTGTGGTTAGACTCTTTCCACCTCTCCTCTTGTATTCTGAGGCTAATTCATTTGCCAAAGAAGAGACAAAACGCACAATAAAGGTTAAAGATAAATTTGACTCAGCATTT